GGGGGGCTTCCCGGCACCCGCTGCGGGCGCTGCAGCGGCTTCCTGCAGCTGCTGCATGTGCATTGGAGCGGCTTCCTGCAACCACTGCATGTGCGCTGCAGCGGCTTCCTGCAGACCTGCTGCAGGCTGGTGACCTGCTAGAAAACGCGTGGAAAGCAGTGGTCCCCACGAGAGAGGGGAAAATACCGTCCAGAGGAAAGAAACGAGCCCCTTGTGTTCTATTTTATATATTGACAAGAATAGGAATAAGGATATTCAGCCCTTTCTAACAATGTCATCCTTGCCTTCGTGTCTCATGTATGCTTTTTGTTCTGTTTGCAGGTGCTAGAAACATTTGCTGGCCGCCTGATTAAAATAGGAGTTTTAGCGAGGCGGGAGATTCCCAGCCTTACGAAGTATCAGATAATTCTAGCAAGGGACCAATTTAGAAAAAACCCTTCTTCACAAAATGCGGTAAATATATTAATTTTTGTGGTTTTAGCATGGCAAGTAGTGATATTTCATAGTTTACAAAGTTTATTGGAATGTTTTAACTTATATTTCCATTGTAATATTCCATTTGTAGCCTTGGGATAACATACACTTGCTTGTTCCACATTTCTTGATGCTAATATAGGAAAGTTTAGAGAATAAGCAAAGTTGTTCATTTGCAAGCTGGAATTACAGTAAGAACTTGCAGTGCACTTCCTGACTGCCCGCACTGTACCTTGACCTCAAAACAACATTGCTCCCCCTGTTTTTCTGTAAATTGCCACGGAGGAGTGAAACTTGAGGTGAACTGCTGAGGAGGTGAAAACTTAGAATATTGCCTTAAAACAACAACAACAAAGTGTACCTTAAAACAATATTGGGAAATATGGTTCACAGGAGCAAAGACAACTACCCTTACTTAAGCTTGGTGGCCTAGATAGACATGACAGAAATCCCTAGTTTTGTCAAATATTGATGGATGGTTCAGCTGTCAGATTTTGCCTTTCATTGGAAGCTTATTTCATTGGAAAAGTAATGAGCTAACCAGGGAAGCTAATACAAATATTTTGGAAATAATTTGAATGGCAGGAGAAAATTGCCATGGCTGATCCCCAGGAATTCCCTGACCCCTTTTCTGGAGTTTTTGACAGACAAAACACGTACTGTACATTATTGTTTTTCCTTGGTACCATTTTTCAGATGATAATCTATTTTTTGTCAT